CCCGGGAGAGCAAACGCGGGCGCCGACGGCGGTTTTCAATATTCGCGCCACGAGTTACAAACTTGCGTTCTATTTTGAAATTCTAATGAGTCGGAACAAACTTCGCGTCCGATCAATAAGACGTCGACGAAAACGTTGGGCCCGCGATATTACGTCTCGACGCCGCTCATTAGAGGAGTTAAAAGTTGCTTTTTGCGTGGGGAAAGACGGCGACGACTGTGAGAGAATGTGTGTGAGATGATTGAGTGAGAGACGGAAGGAGAAGAAAGTAGCGGTAATGCAACAAAATATAATTCTCCGATTGATTTCTATCAATACGAAAATTCTAATAAATTGAGAGTTCTCTAAGAGAATAATCGCTTCAATAAGGTAATATAAGGTAATTGAAGTCTTGAAAAAATCACATGTGATGCTGTCTCGAGGAGAATTCTAGTGACCGGCTGCTCTGTGTTTTTTCTTGTACTGGGGCAGGGCGATCGGAATTATTTGTCACATTACCTCATGTTCAAAGGTTTTTATCTGTATCGTATCGTGGTTCTCGCTTGTATTTCATAATGTTAGCGTAAACGAAAAAAATGTTCACTTAACTGCGGAGACATTGCGTCTTGCGTTCTAGTTCAGTTTAATCTAGTAAACTAGGTAAATAGTCTTGTTAACTTAGTAAACAGTCTTAAAAAATGTGTTGTGGGAGCAAAGATATTGGGGTACTTCATGATTATTGATTCAGGATAGTGAAGGTATCGACCACAACTATTTGTTAATTGTTTGTTAATACCACTACTATCCTGAATCAGTAGTCTTTGGAAAGTTTATTCAAAACCTTCGCGTACTTTGTTTATAATACTGATTGCGTAAATTGTGTTTTCAAACTGGCGAGAGAAAGGAAAGACACTAGGCGAACACGGAGTTGCAGTCTTCAACTTTTTATTCAATTCATGATATACAAAACCCTTCGTATTTACATTAATATATAGAATATAAATAATATACAATATTTAATTATAAAAGTGTACGATGAAAAACAACTACGAGCATGTACTACATTAATGAGTGAAACATGATTGTCATTCGAATTGTTTTGGAACAAAAGAAGAGATCTGTTGAGATTATGTAAAAATTTAATTTTTGGTTTGTTTTTAAGATGCTGTTTTGGTATCTGATCTCGTCCTTTCATTGCAAAACAACGAACAAGACACTACCATAAAGGAACGAAATATCTCGCAGTGTAGACTGATACACGCAAAACAAAAAACACTACATTAATTTGCAGGCTGTTAAGAAGGATGGACCCCTTTTTAGCTGGTAAGACAGCCATTTGGTAGGTTTCCGTTTATTTCTAATTACAAATGTAATATACTTAGAACCAGCGGCGATTTCTAATGAGAACTTGAAGAATATCTAGTTCATAACAGATTCATTTTAGATGATTCTGTTTCTAAACTTTCAAAATATTTTAAAGTATGTTTTATAGTTTGATAAATACAAATTTTCCTTGGAAAAGCTTCTAATAAGATCTCAATAGTTAATTATTCACATTCATGAGATAATGTGTCTTGTTGTGTATCCTGGGAGTTGATACTGAAAAATAATGAATACACCCTATTAGCAGTATGCTGCCATATAAATTCCACAGACTGTAAATTATATACTATGTCTGAACAGACACTGAAGAGATTAACAATGAACTAATAACCTAATGTTTGACGCGAATCAGATCTACGTGATGCAAGAAGATCTGTCTCTCTTACTTTATAATTAATGTTTTCAATTGAATTAAATATTTCACAATAAAAATGCACTTGATAAACGCTAAGAAATAGATTTTCTTTCTACTCAATTTCTATTTAAGTTAAACTATTTCGTTTTGCTTATTTCGTGGGTTTATTTTCTAAGAAATGTTACAACCTGTGGAGGAGCTTATAAGGAATTAATTAAAATGTAATTTACTTGTACTGAATGAACATACACTTTGAACATATATTAAGTCTCGCCTCCATCTCATAACAGATGAGGCTTAGTTAATTTTAAATCAGCCAAAATATGTATTTTCATCGTGTTTGCTGTCCAACAAATTAATTATTTAGACGATATGTATACTTCCTTTACAACAAAGTGTTCGTGCATTTTGTCACTCTTTGTTTCCCAGAGAAGTGTTCCCCAATTCTCCCCCTTGAATCTTCGTCACCACTTTCCGGAGGCGAGTATTTTTAAACAAACGTCTAAAGCATTTGACACGGGCAACCAAAATGTATGTGCACTTAGCAACAATTTTAAAATATTAAATTATTAAGGGACATGACTGGTATGTGCAGAGAACGTTGTGTTACGCTGACTAAACGACGTGACATACCAAATACTGGGGAGCGTGGGAATCTATCCACACTTTCTTCTATAAGAGAATCCAGTTCATCAGATTTATCGTTGTACGTCCTTAAAGTTACCTGGGAATCCTCGAAATGTGTTACGGCGCTTTAGTAATCAGTCAACTATCCTACCTGTGGGTCAAGTGGTTGTGCGCAATGATTTTGGTTGTGATGGACAGGGTCGTCAACAATACCTATGATTTGATTATAAATACATTTTTTTCGCCAAAATTCAGTATTCTAAGATTTTGATGCACCTAACATTTTGTTTCTACACACTCTTAAAGCCTCTTCACACAGTCTACTCAGCAGTGCTTCCGAGTAGCGCTGCTGCTGGCAAAGTATTGGTTTAAATGGAGGAATTCACACGAGAGGCGCTGTGGTGGTGCCCAACGTCCAATAGTGTAAACACACTTCCGCGCCATCGCCATCGCCAGCAGAGCAGTTCTAAATTGCACCTTTTCCCAAAACACCACTGGGATGCGCCACTTAGTCTACCGTGATCCCGTCGGCGGCCAAAGCAATGAGTCACGAATCCTTCCTTTCCCACGCCCAGTAGCGCCGATCGGTGGCGGAGTGTGAAGGCGCCCAAAGTAGCGCTTCTGAGTAACGTTGCCGAGTAGCTTCCGTTTGAAGGCGCCCAAAGTAGTGCTTCTGAGTGGCGCTGCCGAGTAGCTTCCGTGTGAAGGCGGTCAAAGCAGCGCTTCTGAGTTGCGCAGCTGAGTAGCTCGCGTGTGAAGGCGGACTTTAAATTTCCTACACACTAAATTTCCGGTTGCCTGAACTCCTCCCGCCTCCTTAGCCGTTCGTCGAGAATCTCGTCCTCCCCTGTGGTGGTGGTGGTGGTGGTGGTGGTGGTCGCTCAGGGCACGGTGACGGGCAGGAAGCGGCGCGGGTCGCCCACCTTGGGCGCGATGCGGATGTTGACGCGGCGCGCGCTCTCCGGGTCGCCCACCTCCAGGAATGAGTTCCAGTCCAGCAGGAAGTACAGCCCGCTCGGCGCCGGCGTCGTCGCCGGATCCTGCGCGCACACAGCGATGTGTTTATTAATACACGCGAATTAATGAATGAACTGCATGAATACAGAAATGAATGAATTGAATGAGTACAAGAATCAATGAATTTAAATTAATACAGGAATGAATTAATTGAAGGAAGGAATAAATACATGGATGATTGAATTGAATGGTTGAATAAATACATGGATGATTGAATTGAATGGATGAATAAATACATGGATGACTGAATTGAATGGATGAATAAATACATGGATGGTTGAATTAAATGAATAAATACAAGGATGGTTGAATTGAATGAATAAATACGTGGATGGATGAATTGAATGAACAAATACGTGGATGGATGAATTGAATGAATAAATACATGGATGGATGAATTGAAGGAATGAATACGTGGATGGAGAGATTAATGAATGAATGGGTACATCAGAATAAAATAAATACATTTTTGCAGTTTTTGAAAATTCAGAGGGTTAAATGAAAATCGGGATGATACATTTTTATAAGTACTTTTCTCTACGAGTATCTGTAAAACATTAAACAAATACTTTGGAATTATTTTTTTAGAATATTTTGAATACGACGATGATGTTTCGCGTAATGTGGCACCAAAAATCAAAATCTCGGTTTCAAATTCGAGGGGCAGCGGCAGCAGTCGGATTGATAGCGGATATCAGTTCGGTGTAAATCCTGCTAGGACGATGGACGATGATGGATGAACGAACGCACAGACGGACGGATGGAAGATCGATCGGGGAAGAATCGGACAGATGTCTTCCCGTAACCCAATTTTTCAGTACCAAGAACCAACAAAACATGTGTTCTGACTGCCCAACGTGTTTCAGAAGTTAATTGACAACATATAGGAACAAGATTTACCCACTTTTCTTATATTACAAATATAAGCGTTTTCTGCAGGAAATTTACCATTTCTAGCAGCAACGTTACAATACACCACTTCTTCTACACTACGAAAGTAGTATAGTCTAGTCATTCTAGACATTGCATAGTTTTCTAAAACAAATTGTGGTGTAGTGTTGATTGTTTTGCACCTTTTTGTTTCTGGGGTGCTGGCTATGGAAGTTTTTCGAAAAATATTTTCCTTGGAATTTGAGTTAAAACAAAAAAATTTAAAACATTTTGCCTACTTTTTTGCCTATAAAAACTATCGAATTTAGGCAAAAAAATCATATTTACTGAAATCTTCAAAATAAAATTCCCTACAAATTTGTTCGTTACAAGATTTTTTTACGTTCGTTTAGGCATAATTTGGTGGTTGAATTTTGAAACTTTTTGCTCAACCATTAGCTCGGCTATAGACAGATTATTCTAAGAAAGGACTGTTTTGAGAACTTTCGATTGGCTACTGCTGGCAACAAAACTGCAAAGTATGCCCAGGCCCTCAATTCGACAGTTTGTTAGCAATTGTCTCACTTGCATGGCTTCGACATACTCTCTTGCAATACTATCGTCCGACACGACTTTTCTTTTCTTCTCGGGCTATCAAACTGATTCATTCTTACTATAATTTCTCTGTGCCTATTGGAATGGCAAGTATCCGAGAACACGGAGTGGCAGTGGTGGCTGGTGTATTGCGAATTAGGAGGGGCGGCATGTATGTACGAATTATCATAAAACGTATTTTGAAAAGGTAAAATATTGCTCTTCAAAATATTTCTTGGAGGACGAACACTATAGCGTGTAGTGTACAACCGATTTGCACGCATAGAGATTTTAATGCTTGTCTTTAAGTTTGAAAGTGTTCTATATTGTCTTCATAGTATTTGGTATTGTGGTGAGTTTTCGGTAGCATTTACAATGAAATAATTATTAGTCGTCAATGCCAACAATATTGTTTATTACAATAGCAGCTTTCGATGGCTTCGCCATTATCATAAGTTTTTCTGCTGTATGGAAACCAAAAAACGACTACCTAGTCCTTTTCCTTACAGCAGAAATCTGATGATGGCCAAACCATCGATTTCTGCTATTGTAATAAACTATATAGTTGGCAATGACGACTCTTATAATTATTTTTTCAAAGTATTTGTCTATACCTATTTGAATGACAAGTATCTGAAAAAGAAACATCACGGTTTAAAGTGTTCTATATTGTCTATATAGTATATGTCTCTACTATTGGAATGGCAAGTATCCTAGAAAGAAACATAAAGGTTTAAAGTATTCTATATTGTCTACATAGTATTTGTCTCTACTATTGGAATGGCAAGTATCCGAGAAAGAAACATCAAGGTTTAAAGTGTTCTACATTGTCTACATAGTATTCGTCTATGCCTATTAGAATGGCAAGTACCCGGGAAAGTAACATCACGGCTTAAAGTGTTCTAAATTGTCTACATAGTATTCGTCTATGCCTATTAGAATGACAAGTATCCGAGAAAGAAACATTAAGGTTTAAAGTGTTCTATATTGTCTACATAGTATTCGTCTATGCCTATTAGAATGGCAAGTATCCGAGAAAGAAACATCAAGGTTTAAAGTATTCTATATTGTCTACATAGTATTTGTCTCTACTATTGGAATGGCAAGTATCCGAGAAGGCAACATCAAGGTTTAAAGTGTTCTACATTGTCTACATAGTATTTGTCTATGCCTATTAGAATGGCAAGTATTCGAGAAAGACACGTCATTGGACGAAAGAGTTGGCACTCACCTCGTCCACCACTCCGCCGAAGGAGGCGGCCAGTTCGTCGGCGGACGCGCCGCGGTCCTCGTCGTCTTTGGTGGTCGAGGACGAGGACGCCGCCGAGTCCGCCGTGGAGGTGGAAGAGGACGAGGAGGCCGTGGAAGTGGCGGTGGCGGTGGAGGAGGCCGTGGCGGTGGCGTTGGCCTCCTGTTGCCGCTTCACCTCGTTCTTGGTGGCGTTGAACAGCTGCAGGAGCTCCACAATATCCAGGGGGCTGGGCGCATCGGGCACCTACGAATAACAATGTGTTTTTTTGTTGTTGTTTTTTCAGAATTATAAACGTCCTTTTTGTTGCACACGTAAGCTTCTGCGGCTTGAATCCATAAGTTCTTGGCTATTCGGGAGACGCGACGTCATTGGCTGATAGGCCGACGTTTTGCCTGACATGTCGCAGGATTCCTCAGGGCCGTGACTGAGAACGGTTGCGACAGGTCAGGCGCCCTGAAGAAGGCTGCGACATGTCAGGCGCCCTAAGGAAGCCTGCGACATGTCAGGTGCCCTGAGGAAGCCTGTGAGATGTCAAGCGCCCTGAGGAAGCCTGCGACATGTCAGGCACCCTGAGGAAGCCTGCGACATGGCAGGCGCCCTGAGAAAGTCTGCGACATGTTAGGCGCCCTGAGGAAGCCTGCGACATGTCAGGCGAAACGTCAGCCTCTCAGCCAACTACGCGGCGTCTCCTGGATAGCCAAGAATTTATGACCTATTCTGTTGTAAGAAATCGTTCATAAATGGGCATTTAAGGCCGAAATGATGAGCACAAAGGGTTGCGTCATCGCATATTAAGACATTCGCTTCGAGAGAATTGCGATGAGGTAGCGGTAAGCAGAACAGCCGACCACCGCACCGATATCAAATGATGTCATAAGAAACTTGTTTCGTAATATTTAGTTTATAACGTTTAAAAATTTATAATGCTGTTATACAAACAAAATAGCGTATGCAACCTATTTATAATGTTGCTTTATTGCTTTAGTACAAATTTGAAAACTCGCTCTTAAAGGCGCTCGTTTTCAAAACGTGTAAACGATAAAGCGTAATATTATAAACTAATATTCCGAAAACTAATATTTAGTCTAGCTAACTAAATATAGTCATGAATTGCGCGAAAAATCGTGTATTACCTCTACATTAATGGAACCCGTGAAATTACTACAATACAGAATTCTGAAAAAGGATCAAAATCATTTAATTACGTCACTATAACACGATTGTGGCCAAGGTATTTCCAGTTGGCCATGAAACGTGAACAAAACTTTACTACATAACAAATTACATATTAACATCAACTACATATAAACAATAAAAGAATGAAACAAAATTGGTGAAGCAAACGTTCGTTTGATACTGTAACAACAAAATATTCAATATTAATAAACTAAATGTTTTACATGTACTCGGCATATAACAAATCTAAAATAAATGTCAATTGCGTGTTTAACCGTTCCAAAAGTACGTCAGCAAAGGTTTTAACCTACTAATGTTGAAACAATTCCGAGAAAAAACAAATACTCTGTGCTCGAATTTCATTGGAAACATCATGTTAGGTTCTCTGATCGTTGCATGGGCAATAGGATAATATTTATCCTGGCGAATAACAACTAAATATGTTCATAGAATGTATCAATTATTTTTGTTGATGTCCAGCTGTTCAGCCGCGGCAAACTCTTTGTAACCGTGACCTAGGATTCTGCATTCTTTTACCCTGAGTGCTGAGTCTCGAAGGTTTTCAATGCTCCCGTTAGGTGTTTCTGGATCTCCATTATTACTTCACGTCCTCTACCAGCATCTTCTCAACTTGCCTTCCATCGTAATGAACAGCCAGGATTAGCCAAAAAATTGGATCTCTTCATTTTGCCTATACGTGCTTGATTTTTGCTCTCAGAACCTGATCTTCAAAGGGATATGAAACGAGAATTTTCAATCGGAACTAACTGGTTTGATTACATGTTTGTTTTTAATAATAATAATGATGATAATGATAATGAAAATGAAAATGATAATGATAATAATAATAATAATAATAATAATAATAATAATAATAATAATTTGAAATATTTAAGGTATTCTACATGAAAATTGTAACACCACACATAAGTATACTCAAATACCTTGATGAATAAACCGCATTATTGTTTGGTAGACATTGAAGTGGTTTGTTGTCCACTGCATTATCATTTTTTGGGTACTCCACGAATCAACGCGTTTCTTCTTTTTATGTAACTTTTATTGTTCATCTCTGTCATCCGTAAGTATCAACAGTAAACACTATGTGCGTGTTTGTTTAGTAAAACGACGCTCTAATCACAACCAACAGACATAACCATCCATCTAAGAAGAAAATAAATTCTTGATTTCGCGACTACATTGACGAACTGGAGGAAAGCACTTTGAAAAATATCCTTCTTGAGTGGCTCAGAACAGCAAGGCCTTCAACTTGCCTAATTAATTCGAGAGCGGTCTGTGAAAATTGAAAAAGAAGTGACGCAATGAAATTGGAATTTCTGGGTAATGAAGCCATTACCGACGAATCGGTTTCAAAACATCCAACATCGTTTTCCCCGGGTCTCGCGTTGCCCATTAATCTGTGTCGGAAACATAGTCTTTAGAAACTCGATCCACGAACCACCGTCATGAGCCTGAAGAACTTAATGCCACCCCCACAGCTTCACAGAAGCAAAGAAATCATTTTCTGTTTACAGCAAATCACTTTCAGACTGGGAGAATAATTATTTCACTCTTCGTCAGTCAAATGTTTTTGAAGGAAAATTGAAAGTTATCGGTTGGTTTGTTTGTTTTTTTGTTGTTGTTTTTTTGCCTCTTCTGCATTATCCATGTTAAATCGTATTTGAGATGTTCTGTACACTGCCCAATTTTCCTTTTAGGATACCTGCTTTGGCTTTAAAAGCAAAATGCATCTCATTTTGATGAGTTAAACACGTTACTATTAGAAAGGTCTAGCTTGTAAACATTACGTAAGATACAGTACCTTATCTTAGAAAATCTGAAAAGTTTCTCTAAGAGTGTACAAATAAAATTAAAGTATCTTTCGTGGATATTCAATATATTTTAAATAATTCAAAAGAATAGAAAATTTGGGGTAGGTCATGCAGGAATACCAATTGTTGTCTATGAGGAAAGTTTTAATGAACTTCTGCATTGTAAGCATAGTATCCTTTTAAAACAAATTATACTACAAAAATGTAAAGACCTTCGTTAGATAATAATAATAATATTAATAATAATATTAATAATAATATTAATAATAATATTAATAATAATATTAATAATAATAATAATAATAATAATTATTATTATTATTATTATTATTATTATTTAAGATCTTTAGGTACTGCACATGAGGAAAATTGTAATTCCACACATACGCATAACTAAGTACCTTCATGAATAAACCGCTTTATTGTTTGGTAGACATTCCATTCTCTTCACTTTTACGATGTAAATTTTCGATTATTGTTGCCATCTGCAGTAACGCAAGTTCAATCTGGCTTTAATTGATATCCACGCTCCCCAGTAAACGCTCTGTATTAAATTTTAAACGAATTTCAATTAACAAAATGGCTTTCATTTTGAAGAGTAGTTCGAAATAGGTTTAGTTTGGCGTTGTTTTAAGGACTTGAACAGATTGGTATAATTTGGGAGACATTCAAAATCATGCACGATTTATCCATAAGCATTACTAACTGTTAAAATGCATTTTCAGACAGCCTCTAGGGAAAGGGTTCTTTCAGGTTAAGCATAGCGTGTTAAATATTCAATTTCTAGTGCTAGTGCAAAAATTGATACAAATGTTCACATAAATCTATAAATGCAACAAAGTAAAACAAAATACTTTCGTTTGATCGCATCAGCTACTACTGACCTGAGTATCATTATGTGATTTGTATATTTGAATTGAAATAAAAGAAGGCCCGCCAATCTGTCTAAAATGTAATGTATGACCCATGGCAAAAGTCATGTAATTTGTTTTGCTCGTAGAAATTGCACTTGGCCTGTCGAGCTCGTACCGCTACTTTTCTACTCGCAAAATAAAATGTCACTTTTACCACTCGTATCATAGATTACATATTATTTTCACATTTCCTTAAAAAACAAAACCTCTGGTTATCGTTTACTAGTTCCAAAAATTTTATTTTTAAAATGTTAACTGAGTAAATTGATTTACTTCTTTGTATTAGTGATAAATACGAAAGTATTCGAAAAATAAGTTTAAAATAACACAAACGAAGATGGAATATTACAAACAATTTTGAGGTAAATATTGATGGGGTAGGATGTCAAAACTGCTTCAACTGTTAAGCCGCGTTTCTTGACCAGTGATGTTGAGACCATTGAATTTATAAATATTTTACTAGAATTACAAATAATGGCACTATAACTCAGCGGAATGCAGAGAACAAAACGTTGCGCAGAAACCGTTTTTCTGTTGGATTGGTTGGCCGCAATTTGTCCCAACGCCATTTGGTTAGGTTGGTTGTTTTCACTGCTCGGATCTTTCCTTAATCTTCCTCGTCTGATGGGAGATACCTGGTTGGGGAAAACCTCGCAAGCTGACATGTAGGTTGGCGCCGGATCTCACCATCCAGTAGGGGGAAGATGACCATCCCCTCTCGCGATAAAAAAACATGTACTACTCATACTGTACTAATGACCTTAGCAGTTGACTAGCGCCACACTAATCAACCAGTTAATTAAATCAAGACAACACAAAGAGGCAGAACCCTCACCTTATCCAAGGGAACAAACGCCACGTTGCTCGCTGGCGTCGTGGTGACCGGGTCCTCCGACCCGTTCACAGGCGCCAGCTCCTCAGGAGAGTCGGTCACCGCGGAGTCGTCGCTTTCGTCCGGGAAGACCGTGGTCGACTCGGACTCCTCCGCGATCATCGGGTCGTCCGTAGCTGATTCGGTCTCGACCTCGGAATCAGATTCGGAGTCGATGGAGGTGTCTGGGGCTGGAGTGAGAATGTCCACGTCTTCTTCGGAGGCGCTGCTGTTTTCTTTGGTGTACTTCTTGAAGGTGTCCAGGAGCTTGTTCAGCCTTCGAACCTTGAACGTGATTGCATCGTTATTAATCCCTGCGGCACACGCGGTAGTAAAAGTTATTTATTTAATAGGTAATTATTACAAACAAATTAGCTTACTTGATCTATGTGGCTAGACCGAAGGCCTTTAAGCCATTACAATACCTACATCTTTTCGCGTTCTAATCTTTCGAATTCTGGTATTCACCCCCAATGGTCTCTCCATCGCATCAAAGCCGCGTAAAAGAGACCATAAGGGGAAAAAAGTAGTAAAAGTTATTCGAGCGCACATGGTGACCTCTCAGATACATCATTTGAATTTCAGCTTACATTGTTTCACAAACTGACTCTTGGGTGTATCAGCCACAAATACACTTTAAACACATTTACTAGCATTGAAACTTTAATACCTTATTGAACTGTAATGTTGATCAATAATAAGAACAAGATATAGATTATGAAGTTGTATCAGTTGTAAATTGCACTATAGGTGTCCTGCACTGCACGCTTTTTGATTGGGATAATTCCCATGAGGACATTATAAAGTCTAACGGCATGAACTGGAAACTATTGTATCTAAAAACAATAATAGAGAGTTTCTGAGAACAATGGCGTTCTCAAACATTTCTATGTCGCTTTATTAAAGCAAGAACAACTCAGTCATCTGAGAGAGCTACGGAGTCATGTGAGGATCTGCCGGAAGGTTAAGCAGCGTGCGGAGGGAAATAAAAACTGTAAAAAAAACAAGTATTGCGCGAAAAAACAAGTAGTAAAGAAAGCACAAAAAAGAACTAGTTTTTTCATTAATGTTTCATTAACCACTTCATATTCTTTCTGGACTTTGTCAAGAATGAATTATTTCAGAAAACGCTTTCAGAATTTGGTAGAAAAGCAATGATCGTTTTGATCATTAGGTACACTGGAGTAAAAATACTCTACATAATTTTGGAGGATGCAATTACACAGAGTAGTACATTGCGTAATGCTTTGTTACTTGATTTTTTTTTAATTTTTACTCTGGTGGACAGTGGGTGAGGGGGGAGAAATATAAGAAAGAGGCAGTAGGGGAGAAAAATACGAGTATTCACGAGAAGGACTTGTTGGCGTTTAATATGCAGGCTACGTCAGATTGAGAAGAATAGGAAAGAAGTGGTGCAATAAAAGTAGTGGTGCTTCAAAATGGCTCAGTGTTTCTTACAGTAGATAGTTTCCAATTCTCTTGAGTTTTTTCGGTTTTGTCTCGCCCTCTTTCTAGTAGTTATCTATCGTGCCGAGACGACCTTCTGTTGGACTGCTCGAGGTACCAACGTTACCTCTGGGAGTCATTCCAAGTGAAGAGCCCCGTTAAACTCTCCGAACGTCGCATAGATCTTTCTCCGTCCTGTATATGTACAACTTTACCCATGGTATCTGTGGCAACATCACATCATGGCACCACAACTGCGTAGTTGCTAAGCTTTTCTATTATCACAACGGGGTTGCCAAGAAAAGAATATTTATTATTCAGAAGAACGTTTGTAAATTTAAAAACGATACACGCACATACATTGTGCGCCAATTTTAAGCTCATCAAAAATATTCTTTTATTCAAGGTTATTATTTAACAATTGTTATTGTTTAACGTTATTTTATATATTAAGAGATTTAAATATGTATGGTAATTTGAATTCTCATTAATGATGTGGCCGTTGATCCCACAGTATCCCATATCAATGCTTCAACAATTGTTGTGAAATCTAATTGCTCAATTACACATACAGTAGTTTGTCAGCTTAATTGTTCAGAGGAGGCACTCAAAATGTACTCTACACCAGGTACATAAACCAAAGCAAGTGGTCGGGTTGGTGGTCGGGTTGGTGGTCGGGTTGGTGGTCGGGTCGGTGGTCGGGTCGGTGGTCGGGTCGGTGGTCGGGTCGGTGGTCGGGTCGGTGGTCGGGTC